GAGGCAAGACAAATGGTCTTTGTTTGCTGGAAAAAAGGTTGTCTGTGATAAATAAGGAAAACCACGAAAGGCTCATGTTGGCATGTATGTGTGTACATGACCTGTGCAAAAGAGGAAGGCTTTTCTTAGAGGCAGTGGCTACAGATACACAGGGTCCTCGAGATGTTGCCTCCATCCCACACCTCCTCCTCCACCTCCCACTGGCCTTGGAGATAGCTGGGGAGAAAGACAGTTTTCAAAGGAACAATCCACCCAGGTGTGTACCTTCAGCTACCAGCTACTATCGCCCAGGGCAGACCTTTCTGTCATCTGCTCCTGTGTGGGAACTTATGCCCTCTACCCTCCCTCCCCAAACCCAGGCCCACCTATGTCCTCAACCACAATGAAATTTCAGTTCAAGAATTCTTGATTAGTCATCTTCAGGACAGACTCGGCTTGGAAAATAATGACATGTTCAGAGCTTCATTTTATTTACTTTTTCAGTGACTTAAACTTAATCCTGTGGAGGTAGAGGAAGACTCGGTGCCTGTTGTTGGATAGGGCGAGTAGAGGCCGCCAGCGAGGCTGGGGACTGGTTTAGATTCTCACACAGTCTCCTTTCTGTTTTCACACCTGTGGCTTTCTCACCACACCTCACCCCCACCCAGATTCACTCGAATGTGTCCACCACTAGTGTCATCTCCCTTTTCCCTCCTGTGGCAGGAAGGACACCAGGGATGCTTAGCTGTATAGAAGGTCTGTCTACAGAGTAGACACTGAAGATGCCTTGATTGGGTTCTAAACTTTGTCTTAGCTGGACTGAGAAATGAGTAGGTGCTCTGGGATTGGAAATGGAAGACAACCCTTCTGCCCTCAACCTTAGCACTTCCTAATGGAGAGGTCTAGGGAGGGGAGGGGCTGGCTCAGGGTCAGTCATATAAACCGTGGTGTGAACTGAGGCAGGCCTCTGGGTGGGTTTTTTTTTCTCCGCTCCTGTGTCAGGGAAATGCATTTCAGGTTCAGAATTGCTGTGTGTTGGTGAGGCTGTAGCTGGGCCACGATTTGGAATTGTTCCTGAGATCTGCCCTTATTTATTCTCCCTGGGACCAGCCCCAGGAGCCCAGAGTCACCCCTTCATGCTCCAATGCACCCCAGGCTCTGTGGCCAGCCTGGAAGTTGCATTTACACTGCTCACTCCCCAGATCAGCTTCGAGAAATGCTGTGTGACTGCAGTGGCAATGCTGTGTTCCCATGATGCAAGCAGTTTGCCCTTTGGGCGGGGTTATCATGGCTGGCAGAGTATGAGCAGTGTGCCCGCCCACTGCCACCTGTGGATTCCAGGCAGGCCCAGCCCCTGTGCTGAGGCCCACCCTCTCCGGACCTCACGGCCAGGGAGGGTGTCTGGCAGGCAGGTGGCAAATGCCCTCTGAAGTTGCCCCACTGCTTTTGCACGACCCAGACTTTGAGGAAGTCTTTGATGTCCAGACTGACTTGAACAGCACTGCTTCTTAGCACTGTGACTTTGGAGCAAGTTGTGCAGCCTCTCTGAGCCTCTGATTCTCCATTTGTAGAGTAGGGGTCCCGGCAGTACCTGGGAGAATACAGAGCCCAGCTCCTATTACTCGCTTGGTAAATGGTTAATGGTTTGTTTAATGGCAGTGGCTGTGGGGACCTCACAGGGAAATGGGAACAGGTTTGCAAAGCTGGCAGTTCTTTCTTTAAGGGAAATGACGTATACCATGTGGCTGGATTCTTAGTACCTCTCAACCCCACCAGATAGGCTCACACTTGCACTCTCCTGGCATCAAGGTTGAACCAAGAATTGACTTAGCTGTTGAGGTGAGGCAGAGTGGTGAGATGTGGCAGGCTGACCCCTTTAGAGTCTGACAGCATCCTGTGACTCTTAGAATAGAAGGTGTGGATGGTGGAGAGCTTAGGAAGGGGTTTCATCCATAGCAAGGGGGATTCGACTTAGATCTTTGGAAGGACCTTCCTAATATGGGGGGCTTCTTTCAGAAGCCCTTGAGGAGTGGCTTTGCAGACTTGGGGGGTGGTTGTGGAGGGTGGCAAGCTCATTTATTTCCCCCCTTCCTGTGCAGTGGTGAAATTCGTGGATGTCTACCAACGTAGCTACTGTCGTCCGATCGAGACCCTGATCGACATCTTCCAGGAGTACCCAGATGAGATCGAGTACATCTTCCGGCCGTCCTGCGTGCCACTGATGCGATGTGGGGGCTGCTGTAATGACGAGACCCTGGAGTGTGTGCCCACTGAGGAGTTCAATATCACCATGCAGGTGGGCACCTTCTGGGAGTGGGAGGGGCTGGCACGGGGGTGGGATGGACATTAGACTTGGGGACGTCTGCTCCCAGGTCCTCTCCTGGGAAGCTCTTGAGAGGAGGAGCTGGATTCGTCTTGCCTAGCTTCCCACCTCCGAGTGGGAGCAGGAAGTGGGACAAGGGGTCTGGCTGTGGGCCTTCTTTGGAGGTGAAAATGCCTGCGTTGCCCTGACCCTCTCCTCCTTGGCCTTGACACTCTGGGCTTAGGAGGGGACTGGCACTATGACAAGAACTCCTCTCTGCCTCTCTTGAAGAGAGCTTTGAGGACCCTTCCTCTTTGGGAGTTCTGTTTAGGAAACCAGTCTTTTCTTTCTGCCTGGTGAACAAGGCATTTCTTAGCCTTGATAGGGAAGGAGAGAGCTCTGAGACACCAGGGTGGTTCTTGGGTAGCAACTAAGGGTCAAGATAGTGTTTTGTAGAAATGAAAGGAGGGGAGGGAATGGGGAATGCTGAGAACCAGGACTTGAATTCCCAGCCTGGCCAACCCTTCGTAGCCACCTCAGCTACACCTCAGCAGGGGCTCCCTGAGGTAAGCAGGGTTGGAGGAGTTAGAGTGGGTCTGAGGCTCTTCCCAGCTAGAGCCCCTAATCCCCCCTACCTCCACCACTCACCCTTGCTCTGCAGAACCCCTAGATGTTGAGTGGCAGGAGCCCCAGGGTGTCCCCTATGGGTATGGCTGGCTGGGTCACTAACCTCTGTGATCTGCTTCCTTCCCCCAAGATTATGCGTGTCAAACCTCACCAAGGCCAGCACATAGGAGAGATGAGCTTTCTCCAGCACAAGAGATGTGAATGCAGGTGAGACTGGAGGCTGGACTTCACCTGTGCAGCAGGTGTGCAGGGTGGCTGCCCTGTGATGGAGTTTAGCATGTTCCACATATTTTCTTAATTTCTACCTTGGCAGCCTTTCTACGTCTGTAAAGTGTGTACAGTAATAGTAGGTATCTCATGATACAGTTGCTGTTATGTGCCATCAAGTCAGCTGTGACTCATAGCAACTTTACAGTTACAAAGATTAAATGAGCTGTTAAGGATGAAGGGCTAAGAACAATCCTGGAACATCATGAATATGACATTAAATTTGCAGATGGCTCCTAACATAAAGGCTGGGGACTGACTCAGCAACTCCACAGAAATTCTGGAGAACTGCTTCTGTGAAGATTAGAGCCAAGAAACACATCTGTGCACACCTGTGTGCATAGACGGTAAAAAGGTGGAAGTTGCTTAAGCATCCAGGCAAAGATGGGTAGATATGCAAAGTGGCTCATAGGTTGATTATAGAATATTACACAACATTAAAGAGTAGCCATGAATGTGTAAGGGAGATCTGGTGGCTTAGTGCTAAGGAGCTGCACCATCAACCCGAAGGCAGTGCGGTTCTAATCCACCAGCTGCTCCGCGGGAGTAGGACGGACAGTCTCCTCCTGTGTAACTTACTGCCTCTGAAAACCCACTGGAGGGGCAGCTATGGGTCAGTTCCAATTCCACAGTAACAAGAACATGAATCTGTGAAATACCTCACAGTGTGGATGAAACTAGAGGACATTTATGATAAATAAAACTAGTCTTATCACTAAAGCACAAATAGTGTATCAGACCACTACTAGTAAAAAAAATCACAGAAAGATTTCTTTACAGAAAGAAACCTACTTTGAGGAGTGTTAGGAGAGACTGTTCCGTGGAGAGGGATATCATGCTTGGAAAGGTGGAGGGTCAGCAAAACAGGGGAAGATGCTCAACCAGGGGATTGACACAGTGATTGCAGCAGTGGGCTCAGAGCCTGTGCGGATGGCACAGGAGAGGACAGGGTTCAAATCTCTTGTTCATGGGGTTGTCGTACTTGACTGAACAACACCTGATAACAACAAACAAGGGGTGGGAGAGTAGGAAAGGTCAGTTACTCTCTAGAGGGTAATTATTCACTTGGTTGAGAGCACAAGAGTCAAAGACCACGAGGGTATTACCTACTATGACATACAGGATCTGCAGTAACAACTATAACAGTATCTTAAAGTGGATACAGACGTAGGTACATATACACACGTAAGGGAGCTCTGGTGGCCTAGCGGCAAGAAGCTGCATTGCAATCCCCAAGGCAGGCGGTTCGAATTCACCAGCTGCTCTGTGGGAGAAAGATGGACAGTTTTCTCCCATGCGATTTACTGTTTCTGAAAACCTGCTGGAGGGTCAGCTGTGGGTCGGTTCAGACTTGACGGTACACAACAACCACAATAACATATATGCTTAAGGGAGCTCAGTGGCATAGTGGTAAGGAGTTGTACTGTCAACCCAGAGGTCACAGTTCGAATCTAACAGTTGTTCTGCCAGAGCAAGTTAGGCATTTTCCTCCTCCTTTCCTGCTTCTGAAAAACCATTGGATGGTTAGCTGTGAGTCAGTTCTCACAACATGTATACACATACATATGTAACATATATACACACACGTATGTTTGACAGTTAAGCTGAACAGGACATGAGATGGTTGATGTGAATAGTTAACACCAGGGAGGTATGCACTCCTTAGAACCATTAACCACTTAAGATCATAGGGTGGCATTTGTTCAAGGACAGAGCTCAGAAATCAGGAAGGGATCGAAGGAAAGGAAAAGTGGAAATGGCCAACACAGGGAGAAAGTTGGCCAGTGCTGTTACACTGTGGGATTGCAGTCGATGTCATGAATCAGAATGTGTATGAGTTGTTGGATGGAACCCTGATTTGCTTTGCCTTGTGGGACAGTTCTGCTCTGTAACATGGGGCAGTCATGCTGGGGACTGACTCAGTGAAAGTTAACAGCAATGGTAATAATTACCATCGTCATCATCTTAGCTCATTTCTCTGTTTTGTTCTTTCCCCTCATCTGTTGCAGACCAAAGAAAGAAAAAGGAAGACAAGAAAAGTAAGTGGCCTTGACTTTGGCACTTCTCCATCTCCTTGGCTTGTTGTCTTGGTCTGGGGCTCTTGGCTTTCTTTGTCAAGTGGTCCTCTGGTCTCAGTGGGTCAGGAAGTTGATCTTGTAGGGACTTGTGGCTGCAGTGGGACGGAGCAAACTCCAGGACTGTCGTTCTAGGATGAGTGAATACTCCCGAGCCTGGAGCTTCCTACGGAAGAAGGGGGCCCACTGGGTCTCAAGGTTATTCCTGGCTGGGATTTGTTGTTTTGATGTGTTGGAAGGCAGGAAGGCAGTGTGAACACTGGCTCTCTTCTTGCTCTGGGGCCCCCACAGTGGGAGTAGGGACTAGGGTGGCAGAGAGGCCAGCTTTTGTCCAAGGAGCTGCCCCACCATGGGGCCTGCTGTTAGCTAGGGATGTACTCTTGGTGCAAGAGGGGCATTTGACCCTTTCTGCTGGGGGCAGTTGAGTGCTGGTCGTTTTCTGAGGAAATTTTCTAATGCTCAGTGACTGAGGGTTCAGGTCAGGGTAGGACAGAGGCAGGTTTGGTGGACGATGTGCCTTCCAGACAGGTGAGCAATTGGCATCCATCAGGGACGAGCTTGAGTAAAAACCACAACAAAAGAATATTGAGAGAGAGAGAGAGCACCTATATCCTTCCCTCCTCCCTGCACTACCCATCCCCCTGCCTGTCCCCAACGCCCTGGGGATATTGAGGCCCCCTAGGCATCTGCCTCTTGCCCTTACCTGAGTCTTCAGCTTATAGGTTCACTGTGGCTACCATACTGATGATTTGGGAGAGCTGGTTCCGAGTAGGGGGAGAGAGAGAGGGTGTGTGTGTGTGTGTGAAGACCCCCCCTTCCTTCCAGTGTTTTCTTTTGAAGAGGAACTAGAGATGCCCCATCCTGGGTCCCTACTTGCCCATCTCCATTTCTCCCTCCTGCTGACAAACATTCTGAGGGTCCTTCTCTCAGACTGGCAACTGTGAAGCGCATACAAGCTCCCTTTGGGACCTGTCCCCCTTGTCTGCTTTGCCCGTGGGGAGAATAGGGGGCTCACCTGGGCTCCAGAGAGTATCACTGGTGCTGACAGGCTGGGTAGAGTACTTTCTACCAAGTGATGTCCTGTCCCCTCCTCCCCACACCTCCCAACTCCCACCCCACCCCACACCACCACCTGCCGGGGCCCTGCCATGTGGCCCCGCCTTTCTAGTTCAGATTATGACGGAGCAGCCCAGTGACTTTCATGTGCCGCCCTTGGTCGTGTGCCAGTACCAGGCATAGCTGCTCCCCTACACTGTGACTCCCAGAGGCAAGGCCCCTGGAGGGACCTCCTTGCTGTGACATGGAGAAATGGAAAAAGAAAGGTGCCCACACTGCTGGCAGTCAGCTTCCTGACCTCTGCCCACCCGGCCCACCCTGCTAGCCCCCTGGCCTTCAGACCAGTTTCCCCAGTTGCTGGGGAAAACTTTGCCCTCAGAGTCCTGCCCTCTTCCTAGGACCAGCAGCTGCCACCAACAGGGACCATGTCTCTGTCCAGTGTCTGCTTCCTATTAAAGACTTGCCTGTGGCTGGGTTTGCCCTTCACCTTGCCCCCACCGCTGGGGTAGTCAGAATGAGGGGGGAGAAGACTCTGTGTGTGTGTGTGTGTGTGTGTGTGTGTGTGTGAGAGAGAGAGAGAG